TTCTTCTTCTTCTTCTTCTTCTTCTTCTTCTTCTTCTTCTTCTTCTTCTTCTTTTTCTCCTCCTCCTCCTCCTCCTCCTCCTCCACTAAAACCGTACAGGGGCTGCAAACATTTTCACCTCTCTGTTGTTTGTATTATAATAAGATAGGAAATGATACGCATAAAATGGGGGACAACGTCTTTTCTTTTTCTTCTCCTCCTGCTCCTTCTCCTCCTCTTCCTCCTCCTCCCTCTCCTCCTCCTCCTCCTCCTCCTCCTCCTCCTTCTTCTTTTCCTTCTTGAACAATAAAACAAAATCAGTAAAGGCTTTGATTTCAACAGGGCAACAATTCATCCTGAAAGTCAACGGCATTTTAAACACTAGAGTAAAAAATCCTTTATAGTGCGGTCAAAAATTCCTGGAGCAAACATATCCTGAAATATCTCTTTAACAGGTTTATCAACGTCACCCATAATTCACACAGAAGTTTTCAATCGATTTATTTAAAAGTAATCATATCCCACAAAAACTTGATGAGACTAAAAAGCTTTTCTTCATACATTTATATAAAATACTAGAATAACTCTCCGTCACGCGGAACATAGGATTGTTCACAGCACTTCCCGCATGTGTGCATAGCCCTAATGGCCTTCGTCGCGGCTCACCAATGACACTTTTTAGTGGCAAAACTTGTTCCAAGAAAATAATTTTATAGATCTAGTGAACACGTTTTTCCACTAAAGATTCTCACAACATGCGTTCAATAAGCATACTGTCGCTATTAGACAAAAAAGTGACGGGCTTCCTTGTATAAGCGATAATACCTCAGCTATAAAACTTCAAATCTATAGAAACCACTCACTGAGATTTTTAATTAGATCTAAATTTACAAAAGTATTCATCTGTTACGACAAAGTAACACAAGTCATTGTGCAAAAGATGGAGACGTTATGTTCAATAGTTAAGTAAATATTTTACATTATGTTGCGTCATGAATTTTTGACCACACTTGTAGTACATTAATTTTGATCAAGAGGTTACTGGGATATAGCGGTGCAAACGCGGGAACGAGTCAGTGAAGGGACTACAACAGATTCATTGCAATTGTAAGTATATAGAATCTAGAACTATGCAAGAGAAGATGGATGAATAACAAGAATCAAAGCATTCATTTTAACATTGCTCTAAAACACTCACTCACGCAGTTACGAGCGCCGTAAAACACTTACAAGAGAGAGAGAGAGAGAGAGAGAGAGAGAGAGAGAGAGAGAGAGAGAGAGAGAGAGAGAGAGAGAGAGAGAGAGAGAGAGAGAGAGAGAGAGGGGGGGGGGGTCAAAACGGGTTTGGAATAATGTTTTATTATAATTCTTTTTTAGAGCCTATCTAAGGTAGCCTTTGTTTTCGAAAACATGTGGCCTAGCATGTGGCCAACAAAACTCAACTGCACTGGTAACTGGTTGGTTGCTAAACCGTACACACATGTGTGACAGTGTAGATCTAACATGTACACCTTTTGCTTTTACAACCTACATCACTTGAAAACAAGCGTCACGTGTATCGACAGCAGCAGCTGCTGTGACAGCACTCGACCGGCACAGCTTGGGCGCTGCGCAAAACAGTTTTGGGCGCGCCACGCGATCTGACCCCGCCCCCAAGGGTAACTCGTGGGAACTTTACAGTTGCGTCCCCTCGAAAATCAATGGACTGGCCTAGATTCCTTCGCTTCGTGCTAGGAAAGCCTCGTGTGTCGACCCTCGACCTCCTCGGCATTCCTGTTTGCGAGGTTGAGCAGGCTGGAAGTGGGGAACTCCGAAGCGTGGATCCACCACCTCTTCCAACACTACTACCGGGCCGGGCCACTACTACAAGATCTACTACTTGCACTCGCGTATCATTTCTGTTCAGTTCAGACTGCTTGCATCGTTTAGTCATTTGGTGGATGCACTGCAGGACTGCAGGCCTTGTGATAACATAATAACACAGTACTATTGTTCACGTTTGCATTCAAACTTGTTTTAAAGCATTGACGGTTGTTGCACATATTTTCTAAATTCGGAGTGGAGTGGAGCAGATTTCTGTTGAGGCAAAACTTGCATTCAGGCAGAAATTTTCGACTTGTCGTGCGGAGATGCTCGGAGCATTGACCGCACCTCACCCCGCTGTGGCCGAGTCAGGTAAGGCTAGGGTTTGTTATTCGTTTAAAAATAGATATCTTTGATCTTGTTCCTTTGCACGTCAGAATCTGTAGTTGTCAAAATAATTATTAACGATTGGATCCCCAAATCCGACCTCGTACACTTGATATCAGATTATAATAATATTATGATTATACCCCTGGCTGTCGGTAGCTTGTTCAGTTGAAACCATCAGAATCGGCTGCCTTGCTTCTTGGTTGACTTGACCCAGATCCGAATTCTAGATCTAGAATCTAGATCAAGATAAGTTAAGATCTATAGAGTCTAGAATCTAGATTAGATCTCTAGATCTAGGCTTGCTTGCTGAAAAGATGCAAAACTATAATGGGGCGTCTTTTTTCGAACTCATTCTCTGTTCATGTGTGTGTGTGTGTGTGTTTGAGAGAGAGAGAGAGAGAGAGCTTTCTATGGTCCGATACTTTCAATATGTACTTTCATGATGAAATTATTTAATAGATTACATCTTTACATATATAGTCTATCTACGCTCCCAAGCTCAAAGCCTTACACTACCTGTTAAAATTTAAAAAAAATGTTTGGGTGTTCCAAGATTGTACTAATGTAGGCTACTTCTACTCTACTCTACTTATAGATCTAGTCTTACTTTCCACCTTCCCCTTCACCACCAAGCTCTGTCGTGCCAAGTTACTACTACAACTGCCCCCTGACAAAATTTTAATGAATAGATCTACCGGGCCGAGATTCTCCATTGAGAGATAAAAACGGGGGAAAGTCATGAATTCCTAAGGTTGAGACAAAGCAAAGTCAGTCCGCTGGTCCGGTATTCTTCAATCTTACCGTTTTAACTATTACAATTACAAGCTCGTTCCTACTCTGATGCTGCTACTTTTCCATTTCCTCCTCCACCTTCTCATCTTCCTCCTCCTTCATACTACTGTTTAATGTTTCTAATACCACCTTTACCATCGCTGCTGGCACAACTTCTATATTTAACTTATAACTTAATAATAATTGCATTTATATTGCGCATATCCATGCTCAAGAGCATGCTCTCTATGCGCTTTACAACCATTATTACCCCAGCAGACCCTCTAAGAACACTCTGAAACATTCTCGGCTTCCGCGGAAGCATACAGTGCAAGCTGTGGATTTCATGCGCTCAAACACTATCAAACTGACAAGATCGTTCTCTTTCTATAGCCGGGTACCCATTTCCACCCGGATGAAGTGAGGAAAATTTGTGCAAAGTGCCTTTCCCAAGGACACAACCTCGGGCCCCTGACGAGATTCGAACCCACGACCTTACGGTTGCGAGTCCGAGAGCCTAACCACTAGGCCACCGACACCACTTACACTTGCACTACACTGTGAAATAGGCCTACTGTAGATCTACTATAGTTAAAGTAAAGTGCTTACTGGCATCTGTGGTGTTGCACTTCATTGTCTCTCACTGGAGACCTGAGTTTGAATTTAGATGTGGGGGGGAGAATTTTTGTCGACTATCCTCAGCCTTTCTACCAGGACTTTGTTTCTCTCTCTGTCCGATTGGCCTTGACAGGCTGGGTCGAAGTAAGTGTGCCTCCTAAATGGTATAAAATGTGTGGATTGGGGCGTAAAACACCTACATTGAAAAAAACCCAGTAAAATTTACTTCTACAATTAACTACAACTACTACTACTAGTTGACTAGTGCTGCTGCTGCTGCTACACCATAATAATCGTAATTATGACTATGAACAGGAGAGGGGCCCAATGTCCTGAATTCAGATACATCTTGGCAGAGTGGCTGATATTTGATAGATTACTTTAAATTTGAGTCATGGGTCAAACTCAATGAACAAAGTTTTTGCTGGTGAAACTTAGATGTTGGTAATGCACTTAAATAGTCTGTCATTGTAATTGTTATTCTTTGATGTAATGCTGACTTTGCTATCTATCAGTGGCGGTGGGTAGTGAAGGGCTCACAGGCTTGAGTCCCTACCCCCTCCCCACCCACCACCCCCAACTCTATCCCAAAGTAAATGAAAGTTTCTTCTTAATGAAATAAGCAGTTGAAACCGTTATGACCGCACGCAATGAACACAGAGTGATCAACTTGGCGCCTTGCTCGCTTATCCAATCAATGTTGTCCCCGCTTACAACTATAGTAACCCAGCAGCCAATCAAATGTCTTTAGGGCTCAGCAAAGATGAGCCCTTTTCCCACAGTCCATCCTTAACGAAACTCTTCTTGTAAAAAGGTAGAAGACTGGGGAAAAAATAACACTGTACGGAGGGCTCACGCTCTCCTAGCCCTGACAATGGGGTGAAAGTTTACGACACTCTTTCCTCCACTGACACAGATACTTATGCGCTCATTGGTTCTTTGTTGGGTGCGTTCAACTTTCTCGACTACACGGCCTAATCCAGCTCATAGAAGTATTATGTTTGAAGTGTTGTGTGTGCATGTTTGTGTTTGTGCCGCTGAGATTTAAAAGTTATAAATCAGGTCGAACTACTTGTAAGGCAACTTTTTCATCCCACGAAAACTAATTACAGGAAATTTGGCGGTGAATCGGCTTCGTTCCCACCATCAACAAGAATTTAACTAAGAACAAAGAGATGGAAAACAAAGGCAACTCTTCGTTCTCAAACTGCCGCGGCTCACCGTAACTGTAGAAAAATCATCACTGTTTTATTCTTATTGCTTGCTATTTGGTGGTAAAGAACTGGAAGCAACCTAAGCCCCACCCAAATTTTGGTCCACCCACCGCCACTGCTATCTATATTATTATATATATAGTCAAACCTTTAAACCGCCACCCTTAGGACGGGCATGACGCTGCATGAAGTTGTTGGAACCGCAGGGCTGGTAGTTCAATGGGGTTCCTCTGTTGTATAGTCCCGACCGCTCTACGTCAAGGAACATGATTCTGCTGTGCAATTTGTGTTTGAAACGTGTTTTCTTTAATTGGCGAATATATACATGTACATGCACATGTATTCAGAGCTGACAGTTTTCTCTCCATCAATTTATGTGTCTTTCTCTTGGAGAAAGATTATCAAGTAGCCAACCAGTGGGTGTTGGGTACTGTGTGCAGTGTGTACCTCTAGCGGTCAGTTCACTGGTGGTATGGTGGGGTAATTTGCATTAGTTGAATAACAGACAGTTGATTGACGGATGGCGGTGTGAAGGCGAAAATACTATGTTTATATATATATAGAGATGTTCCTTTTGGTACGTTGGCAAAACCTGGCGGTAAGTGGGGCTGGCGGTACAACGGAGTTTGACTATAACTGTTGGTATCTGTTTTATTGTTAAAATATAAATAAACTTCTTGTAAACAAGTTTGAATTTGCAAGCTTACTTTACAAGTGCAGAGAGTCATGAACTGGTTATATGAGGTCTCTTCGTTCTTGACTTCAGATCTCTGTAAGATGGTATTGTCTTGTAGCTTTGTTTATAAGATAGTACAGCTTGTGCTGCTCCACTAGACCTTATATGGTCTACAGCAAGCAGTATTTCTATTCTACTTGACTGTCTGACAACTGTTCTATGAGATGGTTTAATAGTCTACTACAATCCACAACCATACACCGCGTGTTGGTCGGAAAGTTATAGCAAACAGAGAACCTCTGTATGTTCATGATTCTGATCCTGTTGTCGGGTCCAAGCTGTAAGAATGAGTACCGATAATGGTAAGATGCTTGATCAGATTGGGTCAGGTCAGTCCCCTGTCCTGCTAGCCAGTGTGTACTCATCTAATTACTTGTACCTCTGATCAGTTACCATACCCTACTTGTGTGAAAAAAATCATAGTGAAACTGTAACTAGTTTAGTTTTAATAAACAAGAATTTAAATTTCGGAAGAACGTTATTTTTAAATGGTTACAACAGAACCCTCTCTTTCTCAGAACTGCTGGGAATAACAAAAAGGCGTTTTTTTGTTGGCTTATGGCAGAATAGGGCCTGTAAACCTCAGTCAGCTGATCCTGAATGCAAACGAAATGTCCAACATAGTTTGCTTTATGATTGGTTGTTTTCATCTGACACATCTATCAAATCATGACCTAGAGTACAACCTATTATGTTTGATTTTGGAGTGTCTTTATCAAATTATGCCAACCTGGTAGCTTTACCCCTCCATGAGGGAAAACCTGGCCATTCACACATGTATTTAGATTGTCTGAGACAGCCACCGATTATTGAGCAGAAAAGTGACTGTCTTACACAGTGTCATTGTAATGGGGGGGGGGGGGGGGGTTAAAAGAGTAGGGGGGGGGGGATGTTTATATAAATATCATACGCTGCTGTTTGTAACAAGTGATTTTCTTATACAGGTGGCTGTTTTGTGTATAATATATGTCAATTTGATGAAACTTTCTGCACTGGGTATAAATCATCTAGAAAGGGGAAGATGTGAGTCATATAAATGGAGAATATACTTTAATATTTAATTATCTTCTCAGCCAACTCTGGTTGAAGCCCATCGAAATTGGAAGTTGAGGCAGGGGTCAACTCAATTGTCTTGACTATCCTTACTTTCTTGAAAGGGGCTTGGTTCTTGTCATGTCCTCTACTGTGTTTGTCATATATATAAATTTCCTCTTTGCTCTAAAATTACTGTAAAGGATTCTGTAACATGTAGCCTATTCTAGAGCTACAAATTTATTTGAGCCCCACATTCTTAAAATAAGTTTAAAAGAGTCAGAGTCGCTCATGATAGATCTATAGCCCCGCTGAGAGTCTCAGTGGAGACCCTGGGTGTGTGTTAAAGGTCAAGTAAGTCGTGAATAGAGGGCTCAAGAGCACTTCTGCCATTTTGTCTCAATACACATGATTAAAGTAAGTGGTAGATTCAAACCAAACCGAGAAGGTTTCAGTGTGGAAACAAAGCAACTCATTGTTGTTCAGCACCCTGAAGTCTCCACTGACAGTAGCGACAGTGGTTAAGCTGTGGGGCTCAAAATGGAAAGATCATAGGTTCAAACGTCTCTAGCAGTCTGACGTTTTGTTTTTGGGAAAGGCACTTTTCACAA